CACAAAAAACACACACACACACAAAAAAACAACAAACACACAAAAAAACACAAAACACACAAAAACACACAAAAAAACACAAACACACAAAAAAACACGCAAAAAACACAAACACACAAAAAAACACAAACACACAAAAATACACACACACAAAAACACACAAACACACAAAAAAAACCTTCACACACAAAAAAACACAAACACAAATAAACACACAAAAAAACACAAACACACAAAAAAAAACACAAAAAAACACAATCATACACACAAAAACACACACACAGATCCACACACAGTACGGTGATAAACAGGAAATTTACATCTTTCAAAAGAGGCTCAACACCGCCCCCTACTGGAATATACTTGGTTTAGTCCTGGTTTAGTTCTTGGTTTAGCCCTTGTTAAGTCTTGGCTTAGACTTGGTTTAGTCCTGGTTTAGTCCTGGTTTAGTTCTTGGTTTAGCCCTTGTTAAGTCTTGGCTTAGACTTGGCTTAGTCCCGGTTTAGACCTGGTTTAGTCCTGGTTTAGTCCTGGTTTAGTCCTGGTTTAGTCCATGGTTTAGTCCTGGTTTAGTCCATGGTTTAGTCCATGGTTTAGTCCATGGTTTAGTCCATGGTTTAGTCCATGGTTTAGTCCATGGTTTAGCCCTTGTTAAGTCTTGGCTTAGACTTGGCTTAGACTTGGCTTAGACTTGGCTTAGACTTGGCTTAGACTTGGCTTAGTCCCGGTTTAGTCCCGGTTTAGTCCATGGTTTAGTCCATGGTTTAGTCCTGGTTTAGTCCATGGTTTAGTCCATGGTTTAGTCCATGGTTTAGTCCATGGTTTAGACTTGGTTTAGTCCTGGTTTAGTCCATGGTTTAGTCCTGGTTTAGTTCTTGTTTTAGTCCTGGTTTAGTTCTTGGTTTAGCCCTTGTTAAATCTTGTCTTAGACTTGGCTTAGACTTGGTTTAGTCCATGGTTTAGTTCTTGGTTTAGTCCATGGTTTAGTCTTGCCTTAGACTTGGCTTAGACTTGGTTTAGTCCTGGTTCAGTCCTGGTTCAGTCCTGGTTCAGTTCTTGGTTTAGTTCTTGGTTTAGTTCTTGGGTTAGTCCTGGTTCAATCCTCGTTTAGTCCAGGTTTAGTTCTTGGTTTAGTCCCGGTTTTTTCTTGGTTTAGTCCTGGTTTAGTCCTGGTTCAGTCCTGGTTCAGTCCTTGGTTTAGTTTTCCTTGGTTTAGTTTAGTCCTTGGTTTAGTTTAGTCCTGGTTTACTTGGTTTAGTCCTTGGTTTAGTCCTTGGTTTAGTCCTTGGTTTAGCTGGTTTAGTCCTGGTTTAGTCCTTGGTTTAGTCCTGGTTTACTGGTTTACCTTGGTTTAGTCCTTGGTTTAGTCCTTGGTTTAGTCCTGGTTTAGTTTAGTCCTGGTTTAGTCCTTGGTTTAGACCTGGCTTAGACCTGGTTTAGACCTGGTTTGGTCCTGGTTTAGTCCCGGTTTAGTCCACGTTGGGCACGGGGATGTGGTCTTTCCTCCTCTTGAGGAAGCAGTAGGCTCCCATGGTGAGCAGCGCGAGCAGAGCCACGGTCAGGATCACGGCCAGAGCGATGGAACCTGCACAGACCAACAGGAGCCCACTGCGTCAGATGCCCTCCCACACACTCGGGTTCACAGTGACCTGATGTGACGAGCAGAGACCTGACTGACCTGACTGATACTCCTCCTCCTCCTCCCCGAAGCGCTTGAACATCGCCGGAGCGTACACGTCCTCCTCTGAACACAAAGACCGGGTTCAGACCTGGTTTAGTCCTGGTTTAGACCTGGTTTATTCCTGGTTCAGTCCTGGTTTAGTCCCGATTTAGACCTGGTTTAGTCCTGGTTTAGTCCAGGGTTAGACCCAGTTTAGTCCTTGTTTGGTCCTGGTCTAGACCCGGTTTAGTCCTGATTTAGACCCAGTTTAGTCCTGATTTAGACCCAGTTTAGTCCTGATTTAGACCCAGTTTAGTCCTGATTTAGACCCAGTTTAGTCCTGATTTAGACCCAGTTTAGTCCTGATTTAGACCAGTCTAGTCCTGATTTAGACCCGGTCTAGTCCTGATTTAGACCCGGTCTAGTCCTGATTTAGACCCAGTTTAGTCCTGATTTAGTCCTGGTCTAGTCCTGGTTTAGACCCGGTTTAGTCCTGATTTAGTCCTGGTTTAATCCTGATTTAGTCCTAATTTAGTCCTGGTTCAGTCCTTGTTTAATCCCAATTTAGTCCTTGTTTAGTCCTGGTTTAGTCCTGTTTTGGTCCTGGTTTAGACCGAGTTTAGTCCTTGTCTAGTCCTGGTTTAGACCCGATTTAGTCCTTGTTTAGTATTGTTTTGGTCCTGGTTTAGACCCAGTTTAGTCCTGGTTTAGTCCTGTTTTGGTCCTGGTTTAGTTTTGGTTTAGTCCAGGTTTAAATTTTAGTTTAGTCCTTGTTTCGTCCTCGTTTAGTCCTTGTTTCGTCCTGATTCAGTCTTGGATGAGTCCTGATTTAGTCTTGGTTTAGTCCTGGTCCAGTCTTGGTTGAGTCTTGATTTAGTCCCTGGTCCAGACCCGGTCTCACCTGTGACTCCTTTACACGAGTTCTCGCACTCGTCTTTTTGCTCGTGGTTGTTTTCGTTGGCGTCGCAGCCGCCGAACGTGAAGCTCTGACACTTCTGGTCCAGCGGGTCGTAGAACCAGCGAGTGAAACTGGCTCTGCAGGGGCCAGTGTGCGGCGGCAGGGTGCAGCGAGCTGGAGGAGACATTCACAAACGCCAAACACTCACACTCCTGCTTTAGTCTTCAGTTAAAGGTTGCATAGAGGATTTTTTAAGGAAAGAGAAATACAGCGACAGTCCTTTTTTACTCTAGAAATCACGCTTGTTTACATTAAGTTCGTGTTCAGAATTACTGTTGAAGTTTCCTGTCTAGAAATAATTTATCGACCGACGCGTCAGTTTTTAGACCCTTCGTCTGCTTCAGTCGCGCCGTCGCTGGAAGGAATCTCCAAGAAACACCTCAGTTTGTCTTCGCTCCTTTTCTCCTTCTTCTCTTCTTCTTTCAGCGATCTCAAAAACGGACTTTCTTTTGCGGCGAACTGGTCGTGGATTCTCGTCCGCCGTCGCAACAAACTTTGTGCGAATTGTGAGGAAGCGACAGTTTGAAAAAGCCTCTAAGAAGCGCCGCATAAATCACGTAATCCCCGCGCGCCGGCGAGTCAGTTACACTAAAAACGTAGGGAGTTTGATTGACAACCTGACAGCCAATAGGAAATGAGGGAGCCTCGTTTTCTATTGGCTGATGTTTATCTCGTCTCACTGCGTCCACAGTTGATAGATTTTCATAGTTTTTTTTTTTTTGGTCATCATAATTACAAAGCTGCTTCGTCTCTGTAATGGTATTTTAAACTTTCATTGACAATTTGAAACAAAAACAAAAAAATCCTCCATACAACCTTTAAGTCCTGGTTCAGTCCTGGTTCGGTCCTGGTTCAGTCCTGGTTCAGTCCTGGTTCTTACCCTTTTTGTCGTCCACTTCGATCTTCACCAGTCGGTTAAACGTCTCATTCACTGAAATAAAAAATAAAATTGAATTCTTGCAGATTTGTGTTTACACTGACACACGTGACGCTAACTGCAGGCACTGCTCCGTCTGACGCTCTGTTAGATTTTAATCGGAGTTGATCGCTAATCCATGTCCAGGGCGTCCGTTACCCTGGAAACCAGAGACATTTCCCGGTCTTTTCCTGGAACGACGGACCAGACTGAGAGAGACTTCAGTGTTTTTATTAGGGCTCAGCCGATATGGACATTCAGAGACATATCGGGTATCGATAGTCCACGTGAGCAGGTTATACCTCGTTATAAATCTTAGACTCTCGATGTTCTGTTCATTTAATCCAATTTACAGACACATAAATGTCCTCATATGTGACGCTGCATCAATATTTATCAGAGGAGTCATTTGTTGTCGTACTGTCCCTGAACGCACCATCAGAGTCACGTCACTCACGTTCTTGTTTACACTCGTGCACAACACTGAGGCTTTAAACACTCTTGTGTCTTTTCCACGATACTGACGAGAAATAAAAGTGAACTTCAGCAAAGTTTAGGACAGAAACAAAACTTTTTATCAAAGTGTGAGTGCGTAGAAGAGACACAGGACTGTCCCCGCAGACGCCGGACTGTCCCCGCAGACAGAATACTGTCTCATAGACAGAGGACACACACAGTTGCTGTCAACATGCTGGATTCTATTATTTTAAAAGGACACTTGTTGGTGCAGACTTGTGATCTGAGAGGAGCCTGTCTGAGCCTGTGTGCTGTAAATGTGTCGGTTTTGGAGATACTGTTGGTTCTTTCTCGTTGTTTAGTTGAGTAGCTCCACATAAACAGTTTTCGACCTCACTACCACTGGAAACATCAGGAGCCACAGGAGGCACCAGGGGCAAAAACTGTCGCTGTGTCCTTAGGCAAGACACTTCCACTGGTCATGGCCCATGGCACTTGTGTGCCCAGGGCCGTACAGTAGTAGACAGTGTGTGACTGAATAATGAAGTGTTGTGTGTGACACTAGTGATGTGAACACATGTGACATGAATGCACACACATTTTGACTTTGTTTACAGAATTATGCAAAAATGCAAAAATATCATTCGTCCCACTGTCTTTAAATCTGACGCAAAGACACAGAACAAGAAACGTCGCCTCAACAAACACAAATTAAAATCCAGCAGAGCCGTCATTTCTCAGTCTCTGCTCTGGTATCGGCTGATATCGGGATCGGTTGACAAATAAAGCCCACGTATCGACATCGGTATCGGTGGATCCCAAACACAGTCAGATCAGGAGCGATAATTCTCCAAAACTAAACTCTGCCCGAACACAAAGATCGTCCTTCAGAGACTCTTTCAGTGGAGACACACACCTGCATGTTTGTGTGCGTGGACGTTCATGGGTGTGTATCGTGTGTGTATCATGTGTGTGTTTGTGTATCATGTGTGTATCATGTGTGTGTTTGT